GCAAATGAGGCATTTGGTGTAGTCGGTGTAGGCTCAGTTAATTGGTGAGTAGACACAGTTGTTTTGGGGTTGAGTGTTCGCACTCCCGTTTGGGTCTCGATGTGTTGTGGATGGGGTCTGTTGTCATGAGTCCGTTGCCATGGCATACTGGATGCAGCAGTTGAGGCATTGGTTTGTTCGGTGTTGGCTCAGTTTTGAAAGAATCTTCGCCGAGGTGGAGATTTGAAGAGATGGAGCTCAGGTTCAGATTTCAGGCAGACTAGGTGGCAGAGTGAGTTGTTGAGGGTTTTTGGTGAGAGATTGTAACCCTAGTTTGTTCCTCTTGATTTCTAATAGTAAAAACTCCCCCCTCCTTACCCCGTGGACGTAGGCATCTCGCCGAACCACGTAAAACTGGTGTGTGATTGTTTGTGCTATTGATTTTGGTTGGTTCTTTATCTTTCTCGGCAATTGGTTTGGTTTCTCGAGGCACAACAGTTAGTCCTGGTCCAGTTATTTGTCAAACTAGGATTGCGCTTGGTTCATTATTGTGTCGCCTAACCCGGTTTACCTCAAGTTGCCGAACAGATCCTAAAGGTGACATCTCAACCTAAAATTATGTTCAAAGAGATGTATCTGGAGTTAACCACCACCCCCACCCCCACCCCACCCCACCCCAAAGTAATTATATCATTTTATTTGTTGTTGTGTTGCAGGAGTGATCCTCAGAATAACACCCTCCACTATGGTGCCATTGATCTGACAATGTTTGAGAAAGATAAACTCTACAAGGTAGTGCTGGAAGTGAAACTGAGGAATCCAGTTTCAAATGAAACCACGCTAATCGCCGGAGTGAAGACGGCTAAGGATGGGCTCAACTATAATGAGAACGATGTTAAACTCGACCCTAACGGCGAGTGGACTCAAGTTGAAACTCCAAAGATCCAAGCGTCAAGACTTAACCCTCTAGCATTTGAATCGATGGAATTTCGTCTGCGTAAGCGTAATGAAGATATACTGGTAAAAATGGAGCTTCTTGTTCGCAGCGTCCAATATGTTGAAGTCTGAGGAGGAATTAGTGCTGCTGGTGTAGTACTTCTTGCTGCAATTGCTGGTGCTTAAGATTGTCAAATACTAGACTAAGTAAAAGAAGGTTTACATATCCTTCTGTGTATGTTTGTGTTCGTGTTTGTTGTGTTGTAATAAAGCTCCCCTACATATGTTAAAGGTTATGTTCAGATGCATGCATTATTGCTTCCATTTGAGTTTTTACAAGGACATTTTGGTTTCATTGTTGAAGAAAATTAAAGGTTATGCAGGACATCCTGTCTTTCAAATGAAGATGAAACACCTAAGAGATATCAAGCCATATTCTTCATGCATTTGCGCTTGTGTTAGAGCACGTTTGGTCAGATACTTATTTCAACTTATACGTTTTGTCTTACTAGGTGGAATGCACGTGCAATGCACGTGGTCAAATATTTTATAATTGTTGATTTTTAGTTTATGTGTTTACTATAATATAGTTGTAAAAAAGTTTATGATTATCATAATATATTAAAAAGTTTCAGATATTTCAATATATAAAATCTTGTTGGTTTCAACACTTTACCTTCCACATAATTAGTGATAAAGTTTTAAAATATTAATGATCTAAGAGAAATTTAATGATTTGGAATTCTATTTGTGAACGTGTGTGCCCGAGACACGTTCTGTGTCTCGCGGGGCCACACCCACGAGCGAGACATGTCCTGTGTCTCGCGGAGTCTTGGCAGTGGGCTTTTGTGAACTACAGTTAGCTTGATCCCAATGGAGGGTACGTAGGCAGCCGATGTATAGTGGTGCATCTGGTTTGACCTGGTTTTAGCCTGATTTGGCATTTCAGATCTCTCTGGTGATTCGCGGTGTTCTTCTAGTATTCGTCCAAACTTTGAGGTTTATCAAATGATGTACTAGGTGGAAAATTATGAACGTGTGTGCCCGAGACATGTTCTGTGTCTCGCGGGGGCCACACCAACGAGCGAGACACGTCCCGTGTCCCCCGGAGTCTTGGCAGTGGGCTTTTGTAAACTACGGTTAGCTTGATCCTAATAGAGGGTACGTAGGCAGTCTCGGTATAGTGGCGCAGCTGGTTTGACCTGGTTTTAGCCTGGTTTGGCATTTCAGATCTCTCTGGTGATTCACAGTGTTCTTCTGGTGTTCGTCCAAAATTTGGTGGAGAATTGTGAACGTGTGTGCCCGAGACACGTTCTGTGTCTCGCGGGGGCCACATCCACGAGCGAGACACGTTCTGTGTCTCGCGGAGTCTTGGCAGCAGACTTTTGTGAAGCCCAGTTTTAGTTTTTTGGCCTGGTTTTTTCTCCTAAAAATAGGAAGAGATGTTCCGAGGGTTTGTGCGAGAAACGACAGAGCGTTTTTCGGCTGCAGAGGAGGAAATAGAGGGTTTTGACGGCTACAAAAGATAGAGTTTTCAGATCTAAAAAGATGAGATTTTAAGGAGAGAACAAGAGAGAGCTTGGGGAGATTTTACAAGAGAGAGGTCAATTTCTTTTGGGTAAAAATTAAATCTTCTTCTTTTGAGACGAGCTTGTGGATTGTACAAGTTGTCAGTGTTCTCCTTATAGTGGAATCTCCCCTTCCCCTTCTTCCGTGGACGTAGGCAAGTTTGCCGAACCACGTTAATCTCGTGTCTTTACTGTTTTCTGGGTATTGGCTATTGCTTGTAGGTTCCCTCGATAAGTCAGTCCTAGAACTGACGAGAGGAAGAGTGTATATTTTATTTTGTTGAGATATTTTACTTTCTGTTCTTGTTTCCTTAGTGAAACGAGAATATAGAGGTTGACTTGAGCTTTTGTGACAATAAAAACCAGGGCTTTTTCTCGGTTGATATCACTTCCGCGGCGTGAGGGCGTGACTCTGCGCCCAACACTACTTTTAAAATATTAATGATGTAAGCACCGGTATCTAAAAGACTAATATTATTAATAAAAAAATAAATCTTGAATTCATCAACATAAAATAGTAAATTTTATCTGGTCATAGAGGATTTTGTTTAATTATAAAGAAATTACTCGCACCTATTGTCTAGTTCCACTTTCTATTATCTAGCAACCGAGTATTATAGACATTCAAAACTTTTCTCTAGAATTTTCAAAGTTAGAATATGCAAATTTAATCAAGAAATAAAATATAAATTATGTGACCAATTCCAAAATATAATATTATAATCTTCCTACATCTTCTCAACGAATTAATTAATTTGTCAAAACTATTACTCTCTAATTTTAGAAAACTACAAAATATAATCTGAGAATGATTTAAACATATTTTGCAGACATATGGATTACATTTTAAAAAAATAATTTAGATCTATCCAATATTGAATAATATCCAAAATTTTAGGTTAAAGAGTTAAGAGAATCTAATAACACTCATGTCAAAACTATATGCTTCATAAATGTGAGACATATAAAATGAACAACTTAATTTATTTTGTTAAATAATTTATTACAAATCATAAAAGATAAGGAGAACCATAAGGATCATATAGTCATTCTAAATAAAGATTAAATTTATCTCTACAGATTTTGTAGCAAAAGATTTTCAGAGATACTGATAGACTTGCTATAAAATCCACTCTTGTAAGATTGATATCACATATGTCTTAAATAGTGCTTTGTTTAAGGGTTAATTTTAGAAAAATTTTCCTCAACTATGGGGCCCCTCATCAACTATTTGAAATGAGTAAATATTTGTTCGTCAAATTTGGGTGTTGTAGCTAATCTATCTCAACTTCAAAGTTTTGATTTAACCCTATGAACTTTTTTCAATTAACCCCTCAAAACTAATATCGTTGAGTCAAATTCGTTATGTGATATGTACTTGACTTGAAAAGTTCAAAATATCCCTCAACCATAAAAGAGTTAGCTTGGTTTTTGCTAGATAAAAAAAATAAAGATTTAGAGGTACGTAAAAAGAACTATAAATTGGTCATAATCCTTTTATTATCGGTTGAGAGTTTCTTTTTAACTAAAATGGCTTTCTTCAATAGGTCATTTTGACAAAATCACATATTAAAGTATTTTACATTAAGGGGGTTCGTTAAGAGATGTGTAAAAGACCAGGAGAGTTTTCATAAGACACACTAAGTCAAAGGGTGTTTTCTAAAACCGCACCAAAGTTGAGAGAGGTTATCTACAATATCTATAATACTTCTCTAGTTAGGGAGCTATGTCAAATTAAATTAGTTGAGTGGTTTTTTGAGACATTTCCCATATTGAGAGAGTTTTCAAAAAAGTAACTATTCTTTTAAATTTAGCCTATTTACATATTTATCCCTCAAATGTTTTATAATTCAATATTAGTCCCTAAATTATAATCGCCAAAATTTTAAGGGAATAATATAGAATTATTGGAGATTTAAAATCAAGGAATGATATCTAATTTACCTTTAAATATTGCTCTTATAGGCAATATATGAAATATTGGCTAATATATCGCTATATCGACTGATATAAAAGGTTAAATACTTTATCTTGAAAATATTTATGATTTTTTATTGTTTTCTTTTATTTGGGAATTTTGTCTCTCATATATCGATCATTATCAAAAATATTGGCTGGTATAACAAATCGGGTCATTTAAAAAAATAATTAATATGATCCCTTTGATAATGTATTGACATGCAATTGTGTATTAATAAATAATATTAATATGAGAGTGTAATGTTAATACATTATTAATTGCAATGGACTATTGTAGTCCTTTGTATTGACATGCAATACATTATTAATTGTGTTGACATGCAATGGAAGTCATTGGAATATTACATGTCAATGCAATGAGAGTGTAATGTTAATACGATGAATATTACAATGTTAATAAAATGGAGTCATTGGAAGTTTTACAATAATTGCATGTCAATACATTATTAATTGTGTATCTATCTATCCTTTAAAAGAGGGAGTTCCAAAAAAACTTTACCCTTCCCAAAAGAGCCTTCCACCAAATTTAATTACCAAGGGAGTGGTTGGGTACTGATGTGTTTTTTCGATTTCCGTTTTTTTTCTCATTTATTTTCCCCCAAACCAACGCCATCCCCTTTTCTCCCCCCTCAACCCCTCGTCGTCGCCTCTCCGATTCGCCGACTCGTCTCATGAACTGATCTCTCCATCGCCATGGAAGAGATCTCCAATCTCTTAGACCTCTTCAAGGATCATAGTCCCCCTCGCGATTTCGCTCACCGCTTCCGCTCCGCTCCTATCAAGTCCGGTCTCTTTCGATTCCTTGCGATCCTCGATTCCGAAGCCCGGCTAGGGTTGGAATAGTGTTGCGCGTCTCAGATCGATGCAGTCATCTTCGCCGCCAAATTGCTCGTCGGCTCTTCTCTCTCGATTTCAGGTTTTGCTTTTGTTTTGATGGAATTGGAAGTTTTTTTTATGATTTTTAGGGCTAATTGGTCGTTGTTTTTGAGCAGCGGAGAGCGTAGAGTCGTTGGTTTTGGTGATCCTTGAGAAGTCGGTGGAGTTTTGCCTCTCTATTCTAGAGAAGCTGAAGTTCGATGACGCTGATTTCAGCTTGCAGGTTCATTTTCTGTTTATTTTCGGCTTAATCAGCATAGCATATGTTTCATCAGATAAATAATAGCTTATATCTGCACATGAATATGCTGCGAATTTAGCTATTGTAGTTTTGACCTTCTTTTTGCTACTACTTATTATTTAGTTTGCTAGATGAATGAATGCGTTAGTTGATTGCGAATGAATATTTGGCTTAGCACCCCTAAGCAATACACATCTGCCAGTTGCATGGTTAATTTACAAGCACACAAGAAACTAATACAGACAAATTAGAAGTACTCTGAATCCTCTACCTTTGAGGTTGCACGCATTGCAAAGAAGACATGGACTAAGCTTTTGCATGTGTCGGAATGAAGTAGTTCCTGAAAAGCATTTGCCTCCTAACAAAAACAGATGCCATGCCTTCAGCAAAAAGATGAAGATGGTTTTTGGCTATGGGACTTCAAATACTTGAAAAGGCTGTAGTTAGGATCTCTAGGCATGTATGAAGTTACCTTCCAAAGTCCCGTGCGTGGTCCAGAGACTATACCCTCTTCTATGACATCAATACAAACCAATGGATGATGAAGATTGGCAGCTCGTTTACGGGCCTGAGTTCTTGCAAAATTGAGAATTTCCATGGCCTCCTCAAGGGGCTCTATCTTGTCTGTTTTGTAAAGACTCTTGATCCATGGTCTTCTGAATTCAACAATATCCAAAGCCAACTGCGAACAGCCTTTACAAGTTCATCAGGTGGTACTATAGCATCAACAAGACCCAGTGCATGAGCTTCCTCTCCTTTAATCGGCTTGGACATATGAATCGGACAGATATGGACAAAATGGGGGAAGAGAAATTTCAGACTGAATCAATTAGTGACCACAGCAAAGATTAGTTGTTGCTGTTCTTGTAGATAATCTCTCAACTTCTAAATCTTCTATAGGCAAAATAAATGGAAAAAGGCGGAGTACTTTACCAGGATCATTTCAAGAGCTTTAGGAAGGCCAACAAGGCGTGGAAGCCGTTGTGTCCCTGAAACAACAATTGCAAGTCACTTATAGACAAGATGACTCACTGAATTCTAAAACATAGAAAGTTTCTTCCATTTTTAATTGATTACAAGCACAACCGGATATGTTAGGATAAAGAATGAACTAGAGGGGAACTTTTTACATGAGTTTATAATGTCAATATTTCCATGTCCAATTTACTGACTGGTAGGGTGAGTTCCCAACTACTTCAGTAAGCACTAAGCAGTGAATCTACGACGACAGGTTGTTCATGCATCAGACACATATTTCTTGCATGTTATTTCTGTTTTCTTAGAGACTCTTTTAGCATATATTGTGTATGTTGTTTAAAAATGTATCAAATCATGTCCGTGCTGGCATACATCCTTCCTCGATTTCTTAGCAATGAAATGACTTATACGAATTATGACAATTAGTTAAAGGGGTGTTAGTCAATTAGAACATTTTCATGCAAAATGGGATAATTGTTAAAGTGGAATAATTTTTCACTAGCTAAGACGTGAAACCTTTTAACTTGTATGGAAAGTGTTCACTTGATGTTTTCTTGATGGATAAATATCCACAAATCATAAAAAATGCTAATCACATTAATAAATTTTGAATAACAATTGATCAAACGTACAATACTTTTTCGAAGCTCTGTGGAGAAACCAATCTTCTAAGCAAGGGCCATTTATATACATGCTTTATTTAATTCTTTCTAGGAAATTATCTTGATTCTATCTTGCTAATATTCTTCTGTAGTGTGGGTGTTTATTTAATCGCATCTTTATTTTACTTACAACTCGGTGAGTCGGAGATGAATCAGGTCATCACCTACACTACCTTCAGTTAGTTCCAAAGTGACATTTCACGGCCAAGGGAAAACCGTTTTCCTCACCATGCGAGTTGTAAACTTAAAATTCCAAAAAGTGGTAAATTAAACTTTAGAGGGGGAACTGTAGTTGCATCTTTTATTGCATGGGTGCCTATGGTTTTCCTCCACCTCTTTCTTGAGTAATATTAGCAATGTGTATCCTATCATACGACTCCTTTTTTTCACCTTGCTTTTGTGTTTGTTTGTGATTGATAAGAATCTATATGCAGCGCACAAGTCAATTTCTCTTCTTTTTGGGTCCTCATCTCAAACAGTGATATCATTTTTAAAAGCTCTTGTAGGTGTAATTGTTTTCCAAATGCTCATTACTTCATGCTTATTCTTGCTTATTCGTTCTCTTGTTGTAGGTATATATATCTTGGGTTATTTGATAGCGAAATTGAAGCTGCAAGGTCCTACCGAACACTGATTTTCTACATGTTGGCAATAAGTTCCTTAGTATGAATAAGAAGTTTAACGTGGTTGCTAACTATCACAGTTCTTCTGTTGGTGGTCAGGGCTTATGACCGGGCAGCAATCAAAAATAATGGAAGTGAAGCTGTTATCAAGTTTAACCCAACTACTTATGATGGTGAAATACTTCCTGAAACCAATAATAGTGGTATTACCGGTTCGTATATTTTTTCCACTTGTTTTTTATGAAGATATGATTTCTGATGAAGGATCATGAACCGGCCTCTAATTTGCAATTGTTTATCCTGGGATAGTCAGCGGGCTCAATCTTGATTTGGAATTGAAGATTTCCCAACCAAACAGTCACAACCCTAATAGGGATGATAAATCCTTGGGCGTTCAATTCGATCCGGGCCCTTATGAAGCTTCATATTCTAGGAATGCTTGAGTAAATAAGTCTACCATTGAAACTTTTCTTGACAATCATGACATAGACTTTTAGGATAAATTTGAAAGACTTGTTGGTCTTGTTAAATAAGTAAAAGGCTTGAAATTTCCGATTTTTAGCCTTCCTACTTCTAATGGCTTCCCTGCAACAACTATACATGGAGATCGTACTTAGCCTGTAAGTTATATTACATTCTTCAGCATTTTTACTTGTTATGTTTGGTTTACTCACAGCCTGTATGTTATAAAATCAATGCTCATGACCTTGGATGACTTAACTCTTTGATTCAGTGTCTACTTATGACAATAATTTTTTTATTGCTAAAATTCTTAAAATTATTTACAATTCATATGTTGGAGATTCTGGTATTAAATTTTTCTGACTACTCAAAGACTTATAATGATATGCTTATTTGGGGTTAATATCAATTTGTGGTATTAAATTTTTCTGACTACTCAAAGACTTATAATGATATGCTTATTTGGGGTTAATATCAATTTGATGTTCCTCATTTTATGGATGTTTTTAATATTATAATTTTCCAATGGGAAAGTGGATCTGGCTGCCTATTTGTCCATAAGTTTTGCTAAATAACATCACTTTTTCCATTATTTTCACCAGTTCAAGAGTTTGGATGGCTTTCTTCTTCCACTATCATTATCTCTATAATGAATATTAAAGGTGAAGCAATTTGGTGCAGTGTATCTGGGTGATTTGAACTGGGATTGGGTTGGACAAATGAGTGTTTGTATGTTTTTTTCCTTCTTGAAAATACTTGTTTGCAAGAACTACATGTTAATTTTAGTTCAAGCAAAAATATGCACAGAATGCTTGACCTTTTGATCCAGATAGTTATTCATAATAGTATGTTACAACTTAAACTTATGTTGAATGTACCGATGTGCTCTTTGCAGGTGCGTGAGAAAGCTTCAAATTCCTTCAAGTGAGGTTGGACTCCAATCATGGTTGCTACAGATGTGGCTGCTCATGGTCTCTATATCCCTCATGTGCCTCACGTGATCAACTTTGATCTCCCTAAAGACAGATGACTACGTACATCGAATTGGCCGAGATGGCAAATACGGCTTAGCTACAACATTCTTCAAGGATGGAAACCAATAACTGGCCAAGTCTCTAGCTGTGCTCATGCAGGAAGCAAACCAAGAAGTCACAGATTGGCTTGTAAAATATGCTGAAAGTTCGTCTTATTCAAGTGGGAGAAATCATAGGTTTGGTGGTGGTAGCAAATTCGGTGGCCATGATTATCGAAAAGACTCTTATTTGAGGAGATGGAGTTATAGTTCTCACTCTTATGGAGATAGTGATGGTGGTCACAGCTCGGGGGTCGTTGGAGTGTCTTATTATACTCCGGGATATGATTATAATGGACCGATCATTGCATCAGGATGTGACTGAAGATTTTAGGAGCTTACTTTTGCTGACAGTACATAGCTGTTATTATTATATAACATGAATGCCTCATATATTAGTTTTGGACACAAAGATATGGCTTACTGAATGGGTGGAGGTGTAGCCTTGTAGTTAAGTTTAGGTCTTGCAGTGCTTTGTTCTCTTTTTGTGGATAAGCGTCCTTTTGATTTGGAAACTTGGTGTTACATCAGACATGGTTGATTTCTTGATAATTATGACTATCAATTAAGGTATTATTGAATGTTACTGTTTGCGCAAGTTTTTTTCTCTATCATGCGCAGCTCTTGGATCATTTATTGTATCAAATGTTTTTATCCTAAGGGGATGTTGAGCTTGCAGAGTCTTTTTTCTGGATGTTTTTTTTTTTTTTTTTTGGTCAATGAATTAATTTTATTCCATTCACCAAAATGAAACAGTTATACACATCAAGATCTCTTCAGGGAGATAACTAAACAAGAAAACATCCACTTAACTAACTAACATTACAAAGTTAAAAGCCAGTCTCTGTTAGTCTCTGTAATGGAACTGTTCATATAGATGGTTAAGATATCAATTTTGATAATCCTAACCACTTGGGATGCTGTCCTTGATTTCTGTTGAAAGCACCTGAGATTCCTCTCCCTCCAGATATTATATATAGCCGCCGAACTTGCCATCCTCTTCAAACTCTGCTTGAAGCCATTTCCTCTTAATTTGGTAGAAAACCAATCTATCAGTGAATTCCACTCACAGGCTTGCCATTCGAACTTAAGCCATTCCATAATAGATAGCCACACTTCTCTTGAAAAAGAGCAGTTAAAGAAAATGTGATTTCTGTTTTCCAAAGCAGTCGAACACAGATAACAAGAATTTATGCTTATTATACCTCTCTTCATCAATCTATCTTGAGTAAGGAGTCTGTTCTGCACCGCCAGCCAAAACACAAATGTATGTTTTGGATAGTTCATCTTCCCCCATACTGTTTTGAACCAGGGCACCTTATGAGACAAGTGGGAAATTTTTGCATAAACTGCTGACAGTTTAATTTTTGAATTCATATAGCATGAACTCAGAAGCTCCAGCAAATTGTCTACTCCTCCCAAAACAACCAAAGCTTTATTTCTGGCTTTGATGAGTTGTTTCCAGCCCCACGAGTCCCCAGTTTTAGCATTGACATGCCAGATATCTGAATGGATTAGATAGTTCCCATGAATCCATTTAACCCATAGCATTTCCTTGTTTACATGAACATACCACAAGCTTCTTAAAGCTGATGCCAAGTTCCATAAGGAGGCAGAGAATACACCCAAGCCTCCTTGCTCTCTTCCACTGCAAACTCTATCCCATGATACTAATGGAATTCTAAGTGAGTTCTCAGATTTTCCCCATAAAAACTTCCTACATAACTCATCAATCCTCTGAGTTACTCTGACAGGGAGAATGTAATTCGATGTCCAGAAGTTTTGCACTCCTAGAATCACACTTTTAATCACTTGAACCCTCCCTGCATAAGATAGGTTGTCATGCTTTAACCAACTTTGAAACTGGCCTGAAATTTTCTCTATAAGGGGATTGCAATCCTCATATGAAAGCCTTTTACTAATCAAAGGAACCCCTAGATATCTAAAAGGGATCTTGCCTTCAGTGAATCCCAGGAACCTGTGTATAGCCTCTTTGATAGAAACATTCACTCCCCCATAATATATGGCACATTTATCCAAATTAGCTTCCAATCCAGTGGTCGCACTGAAGTCTTTAATGCACTGAAATAATTTCTGAACTGAGTACAGGTCTCCTCTGGCAAAAAGAAGTAGGTCATCCGCAAAAATGAGATGAGTGATTTTGAGCTTCTTACACTTTGGATGATACTTGAAAGAATTGTCATATTTTAAAAGATCCAGTTTTCTTGACAAGTATTCCATGCCCAAAATGAATAGGTATGGGGAGAGGGGATCTCCCTGTCTTAACCCTCTTCTCCCTTCAAAATATCCATGAAGAGAGCCGTTTAGAGAGATTGAGAACTTAGGAGAAGATATACAAGCCATGATCCAATTCACCATTACTTTAGGAAACCTCAGTCCATGAAGCATTTCTTTTAAGAAATCCCAATTCATTGTGTCAAAAGCTTTACGAATATCAATATTTAGCATGACCCTAGGTGAGATGTATTTCCTGGTATAATTTTTAGCAAGCTCATGAGCCAAGGCAATGCTGCTAGTAATCTGTCTCCCCTTGATAAAAGCACTCTGGGACTCATTCACAATATCCCCCATAATTGGTTTAATCCTGTCTGCTAAGATCTTGGAAATAAATTTATACAGGCAGTTGCAGCAGGATATAGGCCTGAAATCAGATGGTGATTTTGGACATTTTACCTTAGGAATTAGGGTTATGGAGGTAGAGTTGACCATTCCCAACATCTTCCCATTCTTGAAAAATTCCAGAATAGCAGATGAAACATCATCCCCGATCACAGGCCACGCTGATTTGTAGAAAGCCACCCCATATCCATCAGGACCAGGAGCTTTATTTTCATCCATGGAGAAAATGGCCTTTTTTATTTCTTCAACCATCAGGACCAGGAGCTTTATTTTCATCCATGGAGAAAATGGCCTTTTTTATTTCTTCAATAGAAACTGGCCTAGATAGGAAATTCTTTATTTTCATCCATGGAGAAAATGGCCTTTTTTATTTCTTCAATAGAAACTGGCCTAGATAGGAAATTAGCCTGCATATCTGATAAGCAAGGTCCTGCCTTAATAACCTGAATGTCTGGTGCAACAGTGGCAGTGGAAGTCCCCATCAAGCTTTTGTAATAAGCTACCAGTTCATTTGCAATCTCATCTTGATCAGTAATTCTTTGTCCCATGTTATTATAGAGCACCAAAACTTTATTATGGTGTCTATTTGATTTTATCCTCGAATGGAAGAAATTTGTGCACCTATCCCCTTGAACACTCCATTTGATCCTAGCTTTTTGTTGGAGGAAAGAAAACTCACACTCCTGAAGTTTATTAAATTCAGCAATACACTTTTTCTCTTCCTTAATGAATACAGGATTGAGAGGGCTAGACTGGAGATTTTCCTGAGCTTCATCCAGTGCAAATTTTACTTTTTGAACTTGCTCACTGATGTTGAAAAAATGCTTCTTATTTATACCTTTGAGAGCTTCTCTTAGATGCTTAAGTTTCATGCAGACTGAGTACATTTTATATCCCTCTATCCTTGTTTGCCAAGTAGAGGTGACAGCTGGAAGGAAACTCTCATGATTTGCCCACATCTTGAAGAATTTGAAGGGTTTTTTTCCACCTGGACATTCCTCAAAAAAAGATACTAGAGCAGGAGAGTGATCAGAGAAATTGGGGAGTAAGAATTCAACCTGACTAGCTGAATACAAGTGAATCCAAGCATCATTGACCAGTGCCCTGTCCAATCTACTCCACACCCTTGAGTCTTGAAGTGAATCCAAGCATCATTGACCAGTGCCCTGTCCAATCTACTCCACACCCTTGAGTCTTGATCTTGCTTGTTATTCCAAGTATAAAAACAACCATGTCCAATCTACTCCACACCCTTGAGTCTTGATCTTGCTTGTTATTCCAAGTATAAAAACAACCAGTAGATTTAAGATGGTTGAAACTGCAGTGTTCAATAAAATCACGAAAATCTTTAAAATCAGCCTCAGCAAGGATAGATCCTCCTAACTTTTCCTCATTACTGATAACAGCATTGAAGTCACCACATAACAGCCATGGACCACTTCCAATTGATAGATTCATCATTTTCAATTCCAGCCACAAGTTCTTTCTTGCTTGCATTTGATTTAAACCATATATTGAAGTAATGGTACAGTTAATTCTTCCATCCAAGGATTGAACATTGCAGGTGATACATTGATCTGACATCTTGATAACTTGAATATCCAATATATTTGGATTCCACATAATCAAAATCCTAGCCTTTCCTTGATTTCTGACATTAGATAGCCAGTTCCAGTTTTTTGCAATATTTTTAGCAGCAATCTTCAATCTGTTTTCTCTAATTTTAGTCTCAAGTAAAGCAATGAAAGAGAGATGATACTGAGATAAGAACTGCTTAACTAAATGCTGCTTAGAGGATTTATTTAATCCTCTCACATTCCAAAAAGATATATTCATCATTGTCTCCCCCCCCCCTCTATCCAATGTAGAGGGG